TTGTGGCCGACTTTGACCCCTTTTTTTTTTTTTTTTATACTTGTACACTTGTTTAATCTATGATCCAAATGTATGGTGGTGATGGATAACAAGTGGGGTTGATTATAAGTAATTAGTAGCCTAAAGACCTATATTTGCAAAGGAAATCTCTAATCTTCCAACTAATATAATCCAACCCTCTATCTTTCATTATTAGCAAATGTATCCCAAATCTAAACTTATATCCAACTTACATATCCAAAAATTGTAGATCATAAATTAATTTAATCATTTGGTCAATTGAAGTCCTAACAAAATAATCGACCACATTCAATTTCGAACTTGACTTAAGTTTCGACTAACTAACAATCACTTCATGTATACGCAACATTTAACACCTCATGCTTGTAGTCATTAGCTATCTCTAACATTAACCACTACAAAAGTGGTGTCCCCCTTTTCTTATGGCCAAAAATAGTATTGAAAGTTAAATCCCCATCTTAAAGAAATTTAAATCAGCATAAAATTTCGGAGTATTACACTCGTCCCGCATTTTTGAGTAGTTCCCACGCTCTTGATCTGTCCATTTGAGACCGTCCACGTGTCTTAACATGTTGGACTAGGTTTGCGTATGGACGAGTGAGTCCGGTATCTGTTGACAACATTTTTTGGGGTCAACAGCTTCATTTTAATTTAATCTTATCCCCTTTATATAATCGTTCTTTTTTGCATGACATTTTTAACCAATTGTTGAAATTTGACTATAAGATAAGGGGAAAAAAAAGATATTATATATATAGTACATTTCAATAGAAAGAAGAGATCCACGACTGTAAAAAATATTTTATTATTTGTTTGACCATTTGCTGTTTCTTTGAGAATAAAATGGGAAACGTAAATACTTTTCAAATGACTAGTAAATGCAGGATTGCTCTTTTAAGAGAAGAAATTAATATCTCTAATCTGTTGATAAAATATTAAATTAATATTAAATTACCAACTAAAGACTTCCATCGATATATTCATGCCCCTAATCTGTTGATAAAATTTTATAAAATAAATAAATAAAAAATTTAATAATTTAGCGATGAATGTTCCAACAGATGATTCCACTGGAAACTATATAAAATAGTAAAATAATTACCAATGGAAAAAAATCTGCGGTAAATTTTTTAAGAAAAATAAAGAAATTATTGAATAGTTGCCAAAGGAAAAAATTTGTGTAGGAAATTTTTGAGAATAATGAAATATCTATTAATTACATTCGTAGGTAATTTTTTTTTTTAAAAAATATTTTAACTTCGTAAATTCTAAAAAATAAACGTGTGTATACCCTTTTTTTTTTTTTAATTTGAAATTTTCGTTCAAGCAATTATTATGAGTTACTATTACATGGAACCTTTTTATTATTGAAGTTTGAAGCGCTTACACATTTGGTCATTTTGTTACCAATGTCCTGGTAAAAGACCGATGCCATGACGTTACACTCCATCGTGATAAGCACGACACTAATAAGATTGCCACCTATGTGAAATTGACAATTAAGTGGGAAAAATATTATATTTTACACTCTTATCACACCCCAACTTGCTTATTGCTGGTCCTTAGCAATGCAGAATAAGTAAACGAATGATTAGACTATGATACAAATGAAATTATTATGTTCCAACTTAATTTTATTGTAAGCTTTTATCTCCCTCGTTATGTCTCCATTATCCCACCATCCCCACCCAGCACACACACAAACATAGAGACACACAATTGATCCACATTATTTTTAAAAAATACACTCTTTTTTAATAGTGATTTAATATCATTTCAACTATACATTTTTTAATAAAAAAAATTACATGTAAATTTCAAAATTTTTCTTACTTTTTATTCACATATTTTTTATTAGTACTCTCTTGAAAAATGCAATCTTAGGCTATTCAGAACAAATTAATGTAAAAATGAGAATAAAAAATATGATCATTACGAGCTCTATACAAGAGATAGAAAATCAAATATGATAGCTTGAGATGATGAATGACGATCATATTTTTTATTTTCACTGTTAAATAATGGGATCTGCCATATCCTGTTCAAATCCCTAAATCTCTCTCTCTCTCTCTCTCTCAATACAAACATTAGCAGATTTTGAATTTTTCTCTTACTTTTGTCTTCGTTTGTTTTTTTCTTCAATTTCTCTACAAACCGTAGTCATGGGTCGTTGTCTTCACCTCCCCTCCCCCTGTTTTTTTCTAACATAAACAATTTCCCCCCCTCTTCTCTCTCATTTATGTATTTCTTTGTCATTTTGAATTGATTTTTGAAATCGGGCACTTTCCTGTTGGTGCGGGGATATGAGGCAGGCCAAGATTTGGTCTGTATTCAAAAGTTAACGGGGGTATGCCAACGCTATAAAGTGTAAAGAACATATTGAATGGAAAAGCAAATACGGAAAATACAAGCCCCTTACAGCAGAGCCGGTCCTGTTATTTTCGGGGCCTGAGGCGAACTTTGTAAATTAGGCCCCCCAAAGTCAACGTAAATATAAAATTCAATGGTATATTATGCAACTGATCGTTAACTTAAAACTAAACAATAAAACAACAAACAAAATACTGATTAAAATCCAAGCACGTTAAAAACCCATTTAAAATGGCAAGAACTGTTCAATCCGTTCATCCTACTAGCAATCTTTTTTCTGTTTGCACTCTCTGTCTAGTTAAAATAAGCAATTAAGCATAAAAAATAAGTAGGAACTCCCATAAGTTCCTCTTAAAAACTATAATTTCCATTAAGTCCAAAACGGCAAAATTTGGAAACCCAAAACTTACAGTTTTCCCCTTTTACCGCTAAAACAAATCAGAATATGATTCCTGTAATCTTCACTTTCTCATGGATAGATAAATTATTTCCGAATAAAGAAAAACTGTATTTACCATAAAAGACTCTGATCACCAATCCACCCCACGCACCCTATCCATTTAAAGAACAAGAGATAGAGGCAAATGTGATTTGTGAATATCCAGTTCTATAAAGAAAAACGGGTAAGAATAAAAAAATAAAAAAAAGGGCCACCTAAAGCATCAACTTTACCAATATTTCACAGAAATATAAAGAAAAGAACTTTCAGAAAGCTCTTTCTTGTGTGCACATTAATCTTTACAGGAAATATATAATAGTATGTGTAATTATCTGCTTGATTAAAGCAATAAGAAATATAAATACACACAAACGCATGCATCAAGATAAAAAAAAAAAAAAAAAAAAACACGATTTTGATTTCATAAACGACAAAAAATCAAGAAACAGGAAAATCCAATATTATAAACGAAAGGGGGCGAAACAAGAAATCATTGCAGTTGAATCAAGAAAGAGGAGAAGTTTAGCAAATTAAAATTGCTGTGGAATTTTCAGGAATGAGTTTTTGTTCAATAAAAGCCAAATATGAGTTCTTAAACAGAAATCTCCAGCAATCAAAGATAATTGAAGCATTAAAGTGTAAACAAGTTGATTTGGGCCAAATATCATTAAACAAAAAGAGGCCCATCACCAAACAAAAGGGCCAAAAATTTCATTCTGATTTCAGTCGTCTTCCCGCCTCTTCCTCTTCCATCTCTGCAAACTGCAACTGCAATTCTGGGACTCTCGGCTGCTACTTAACATTCACTATCCTCCCTCCCAACCTCTAAATTATGGCTCCGCCACAGTAGGTTAGTGACTGTGGGGAGAGAAAAATGATTTCTCCTTCCAATTTTTTCATTTAATTGCTATAAAAAAAAAAAAAAAAGAGGGCGAAGTGAGGCCCCCTTCCAGTTTTGGCCTGAGGCGCAGGCCTCATCCGCCTCGCCTCAGGACCGGCTCTGCCTTACAGAACCCGTCAAATGGTATAGTACCGTTGTTTTTATTTTTCTGCTGTTTACTTAATTTTTTTATTTTTGAAAAAAGTAGATTTTTGGTAGTCAGCGGCGTTCCAAGAGGAATGTTCGTTAAACTTACCACAATCTCTGTAAAGGTTACTGGTTAGAATTCGACATCCATCCCCAAAAAAAAAAAAAAAAAAAAAAAAAAAAAAAAAAATTGAAAAAAAAAATATTGAATTGAACTGTGAATATTTATATTTCTTGGTTTTTGCAAGTGTTTTGGAAACTTGTTGAATTGCTGATTGGTCACTGGCTATCCAGAATACATGAGAGAGGGACATGAGGACTTTGCTGCGCACTGTAAGCCTGCATTTTCTCTCTTGTTGAAATTTTGGTTCTTTTGTATTTTTACTTCTCTTTCTTGATGGGGATTTTGTCTGTCAGGGATGGGGATGGTTCCACAGAAGAGCATTTTTTTTTTTCATATAAATATATTGAGTTCCAAAAAAATAAAATAGTACTCCAATTTTTTTTTAAATTCAAATTAGTAACCAAAATAGCAATAGAAATTCATCGCTAATCAACGACAGTCTTTATTCATAAGTAATCTATGACGAAATTTTTTATTGCTAATGTCATTACTAATTCGTTATGGAAATAGTCGTTGGTAATTACTAATAGCTTTTTTCGTCACTAATGTTTGGCCCACATTAAATTAAATTTCATTTTCTTCTCCTATTTTCAATCATACAATCTTTCATAAAATAATATTATACGTAAACCCAGAATGTTTTCTTCTTTTTCAACCACTTATTCTTCAAAAAAAAATAAAAATATATATATATATATATACACACACACACACACACACACACACACACACACACTATTCCACCCATTTTAATTTAAAAAAATGGGGCCAAACAGGGGTTATAAATGGCCTAACAAATTCGTTGCTAAATTCGCGGTGAGGATTTCATTATCAACTACTTTGACAGGTCGATTTCTAGGTAATGGCCGTTAGCTACGGAATTTAAGGCATTAATGTCAAAAAATTTTGTCGCTACAGTCGCATTTTTTGTGACTTTCATGGGACAATGCTTTTGACCACTACCAAGTAGTGTGACACCCCGTTTGCGAATTGTTATTTTGTACATATTTTGACACATCTCCTTCAATTCACTTATATATTAGACTTACAGTGGTATTGCAAATATAAGTATTGACCTTTGGATTGTTTATTAGCTAAATTCATAATTTAAGAAAAGATTATTGTGAATTGTACCACTGTCACTGGTTGGTTGAATTGTCACCATGCATAGATGACAAAATTTCAAACGGTAGTTTTCTTCTAATTGAGTAATTGATTTAACCAACTCTTTTGATGCATCAAATTCAGCAAGTACTTTAGCAAATGATAATCTTTCTTTTGGTAAAGTGAGTTCATCAATCAAAATAGGCTTTCCAACTTTGGATGCAATCATCACCCATGTAATTTCATTCTAGCATTCAAGTAGAAGGCTAGTTAAGGTAATTTAAACTGGCATAGAGTTTATCCCCTTATCATCGAACTCAAAACAATGAGGCATGCTCAAAAGCATAAGGGCATCCCAAAAAACAAAGAAAGGACCCTCGTCAAACACACTTAGCCCCAGTTTGTTTCCAATTGTTGGAAGAAAAGAAATCATTTTTGCCCTTTTTTGCCTGCATGTGGGACCCAATGTGAGAGAAGAAGTCAACAATGGTGGCTAAAAGTCCAGCAAGGGTTGGAAAATGCATTATAATTGGGCAGAAAAGTTGGAAACAAACAGGGGTTTAATCTAGGAACCCATCTTCATAATTAAAAATCAATCAACCATTAGTATGAACAAAATAGTGGCATTTTACTTTTCATGAATCACACATTTGTAAAATGACAGTTTTATTTGAAAATTTTCCTACAATGTATTCAACCAAACAATATCCCTTTCTTGTTTTAGCATCATCAACATCTTGCCCCCTAATATCATTTCATTTGATAGATCATTCAAAAGTTAGGAGTTTAAGATCTTTATCATGTTTTTTTGTTGTCATTAAATAGATCCACTCAAGGAGCTTCGGCAGCTATTTGGTCCTTTTGTTTCCCACGAAGAATATCAATGTAATGAGGCTTGAAAACAGTAAATAAACAAGCAAGAAGAAGGTTAGAATTCAAAACAATTTGAGAAAGTTTTTGAATGATGGCCAGGAAAGTTAAAATTTTTAAATTTTTTACTAATTTGGGTAAGAATCTATTGCAAAAAGTAGAAAACTGTGCTAGAACACTCTATGGTCGAACAAGGGAGAAGAAAAATTTGAAATCTTTATCCGAAGGAGTAAAAATATACATTGAGGAAACTTAAATTTTCAAGAATGCTGTAAGAATACCTGCTAGTGAGGTTCAAATTTTTAAACATGGGGATGAAAAATTTGAATTTATGAATATGAATTTCAATAATCATGAGGGTTAATTGAATAACATTTCATAAATATCAAAATTAATTCACAAGTTACCAAAAGGAAAGTTAAAGTTTGAATTAACAACTATAAATTCCTTAAAAACTCAAGGGTTGACCAAGTGAGTGTTTCTCACATTAAGTTGAGAGCATCTCTCTTTAACTCTTTGATTGACTAAGAGTTATTTCTTGATTTTGATCGGTAACTTTTTCTTAATTCAATGGGTGATGGTGTATGATCGTTCTTAGTTGGTAGAGTGATTTATCTGATGAGCATACCTTCCGTGTGGACACTATGGTAGCAACGTGTGCAGGTCATGGTTGGATGGAGGCAAACAAAGGCAATACTCTGCATTTTTCACGTCAGGGATATAGGCATACTAAGGCAGCAACGTGTGTAGGTCATAACAAGGACACATACATGCTAAGATAGCAACTTAAGCACATCTGGTACACGATGGTAGTATCTCAAGTATAGGAAGTACAAAAGCATGCACATTGTGGCACCAAGACATGTGCATTGTGGACTTGAACACAGTAATACAAGCACATCATATCACATGAACGCAACAACATGTACAACTTGTGCACAAATTGTAGCTTGTGCATACAAAAGGGACCAATTTGCAATAACTTAGCATGATGTGCAAAATCTCAAGAACATCAAGGCCACATGAAAAGGGACACTAAAGAGTGCACAAATTTTATAAATCGTATCAATTTCAGCATAAAAGCTTGTTAACATCTTTTGTGCTACATGTTATACATATTTTTTTTCTTAAAACACTTGGGTGGAAATGGGGCTCCAATGTGAGACAACATAGTAAGTTGCACCAACGTCGTCTCTCCTATAAGTTAGAACATGTTCATGGGCTTGATTTGTAGGCTTTGACAATAATCCTTCCATATGTTCATCTACGAAACTTTGTTACGACTTCTTTTTCCTCTAAATGATAAGATTCAATGGACTTCTCGCGAAATCACGAATAACAAATTGCCCACGTTACCATATGATTGGCATGCTCATTAGTTAATGAAATTAACCAGCTAAATCGTTTGATTAACTAAAAAGGTCGTGCACCACCATCCGTAAAATTAAAAAAGATCTCTTAATCAAAATCATGAAAAAGCTCTTAGTTAGTCAAGGAGTTTGAGAGAGATGTTCTTAACTTAATGAGAGAAACAATTATTTGGTTGTCTCTTGAGTTTGAGAAATTCATAGTTAATTCAAATTTTGCCTTTATGTATGATAATTTTTGAATTAATTTTGATGTCTGTGAAGTGTTCTTCAATCAGTCCTTGTAATTATTCATAAATTCAAATTTTTTACCCCCATCTTTGAAGATTTGATTCTGGCAAGCATGTTTTCTTGCATTATTCTTGAAGATTCTAGTTTTCTTGATACAGATTTTAAGTTTTTTGGAAAAATATTTCAAAATTTTCTTCCCATTTGCTTCAAAAATTTGAAAATTTTAAGCTGTCCTCATAGTGTTCCAGCACAATTTTCAGCTTTTTATAGTCATTTCTTACTTGAATTGGCAAAAAAATCATTTTTTATTTTTATTTTTTAACTTTTCTTGTTATAGTTTCAAAAACCTTTTCAAGCTGTTTTTGAATTCCATCCTGTATCCTACCTGTTTATTTGCCATTTTCAGGTTTTATTACATGCAACATAGATAGAATTTGGATTCTTGGCAAGAGTTCAAGTTTTTTCAGCTAAGTTATTTAGTTGCAACTTGCTCTTTCTATAGTTCTACTTTTTTGCAGTACATTTTGAGTTTTATTTTTTCTCCATGACTCGATGAGTAGGAATAAAAACTACCAACAGTATGCTAATCTTCTAGTGAAGCAGAATTTCATTACTAGACCAAGGTTTCTAAAACATCAACTGATCTAGCAAACGGTAAGGAAAATGAAGTTATTTCTTCTAAAGGTACTGGTCAAAATTGTGCAAAAGTTTTTTGGGAAGAGGTTAACCATAAGAGTTCAAAATCACCAATTGTTTTTCAAACACTTCGTGAGGAAGACACAAAATTTAAAGAAGAAAACATAGAATCTAAAGAGAGCGATTTAGAATATGAAGAGGAAGACTCAAAATTCGTAGAGTCGGTTGTAAATCCTCAGAAAATCGTTTTTGCTCAAGAAAAAGAGATGGATCTTCCTAAAGCTACCTGAGTTAATATTTTCAAAGATAACAGGAAGCAGGATGATGTTATTAACTCCAAACTTTTGATGATCTCCAAGACGAAGTTATTTTGGGTGAGCAAGATGTGGATGATGCCGAAATAGCTTGGAGGTATTGCTCAGTAGGATATTTTGTTGGAAGATTTCTTGCTAAGACTGCACTTCTTCAATTGTGCGATTTTTGGAAAGCGAAGTACCACCATTTTTCTCATAATAGTGGTTGGTTGATCTTTAAATTAGATGATGGGGCAAATAGATTGAGTGTGTTGGATGATAGTCCTTATTTCATTTTTTTGGAGGCTCTTAATATTAAAAATCATGTATCAATGTTTCGAGTTTGATGATAAGGAGATTAGTTTCATGTCTGTTTACATTATTTATCGGGACTACCTTTGAACTATTGAACACAAATGCTTTGGGTAAAATTGTATCTAAAATGGGGAAGCCAATTACGACGAATAAACTTACATCAACTAAGGGAAGATTATCTTATGCTTGAATTCTTGTTGAGGTTGATGCATCCAAAGAATTGGTCCTATTCATTTATGTGAAATGCCAATCGATAAGTCTAGAGAGCAACAAGATTTTACGAGTACTAGTTGAAGTTTTGCTCAACTGGTAAGGTGTCCGGAACTCAATACTCAGTTGCAACTATCTTCAAGAAGTTAGTAATGGGATTCGACACTTAATGTTTTAGCTTGATTGGTTGAAGTTGTTACAAGTAACGAAAGTTCATGTTTTTGATTCATTTTAAATTTCTTGCTTTGGGTCATTAGATCTTTGTAATATTTGGTATGTAAGCTTGGGCATACTTGGAGTAGTTATACTTTATTTTTGATCTATAGATATTTGTATTTGCTGATTAAAAAAGGAAAGACCTCTCAATCAGTTAACGAGTTAAAGAGAGATGGTGAGAAAAACCTTAATAGTTGGCCCCTTGCTTTTGTGAGATTCTTATTAAAATCTCAATTCTTGCCTTTCCTCCTTTGGTAAATTTGAATATAGCGAGCTGTTTATGCGTAGTTGCAAATTCAATTATTTCTTGCTGCAAATTCAAAATTTTCTGCAGATTTCGAGCCTCATATGAAAACCCTGCTTATCACCTACATTGTTTTTTGAATTTTGCCTGCTTTCCAGTTTCCAGCTTAGTTGTAGTACAGACTCATTATTCTAAACAATATGCTTATTGATGAAAAAACCCAATAAGCACCGTGTTCTGCTTCCTGTTAAGTAGAGGTTTGAAGTTCAAGCGAAGGATGCCAAAACCTTAATTGATTTCGTTATAGTGCAAGGTAAGGATGAAAATGCTTCTTCTCGCATTTCTACATCGCAGTCCTTTTTTCTTTGTTTTTTGCACCGCCTTTTGCTTTTTCTTTTGGATTTTCAGTTATCTATGTACATTGGGTAAGACTAGTTGACATGTTATATATTCCAAAAGTTCAGTTTTTTGTCTTTAGTGGAAAATGCAAAGACTAATAATTAGATTGGATGGTCTAGGGTCGATTAGACATGATTTAATTATTGTAGCTTGAATAATTTATGTACGATCAAGTCCCTATGGTAGATCTATAAGATATAAGAACTTAATTCTGATAATTATAATAATTTTGGGCTTAATTGTATTACAATAAAGTTTTGTACTTAGTTTTAATTATTATGAAAGTTGTAAATCCAATTATAATTGTAATTGAAATTTTAGGGTTATACATATAATGTAAATTAATTAGATTTGGATTTTAATTAAAACTCATACTTGAATTTTAATTAGAATTCTTATTTGAACATGAAATTATTATTGTGCAAAAATTGGAGCTATTCTATTTCTAAATATAGAAATTTGATGAAATTTGGGACATTTTATGGGATTGAATAAAAATCCTATAGCAACCATAATATATGATTTCATAGTGTTCAAATTTGGAGAGAGAAAAAGAGAAGGTGTCCACCCATCGGTATAGTCTTTGACTTTGGAGAATATCATAGAAGACTTAGAGATTTGAAACATTGAGTTCTTGGAATTCATGAAGTTATGTAACCTAATCTCTATTTATAGAGATGAATACTTTTATTCATTGTACAATAATAATTTTACATTCAAATAAGAGTTCTAATTAAAATATAAATATGATTTTTAATTATAGTTCAAATTCAATTAGTTTACATTTAATTACATGTGTAATCTTAGAATTTCAATTATAATTATAATTAAATTTATAACCTTCATAGTAACTACAACTAAGTACAAAATTTTATTAAAATTACAATTTAGTTCAAAACTATTATAATTACTGTAATTAAGTTTCAACACTTTATAGAGCTATCGTAGGGGTCTGATAAAATGTACATTATTGAAGCTCCAATAATTAAATCATGTCTAGACGACCTTAGACTATTCGACTTAATTATTAGTCTTTGCATTTTTCACGAAAGACAAAAGATTGAACTCTTGGAATATATAAGATTACAAAAGTCAATAAATCTGTAATACTTTCCTCTGGTATGCTGTATATGTATTTTATTCCCGTTGGAGATCCGACAATTAGGTTCGAGTATAATTGATCGTTTTCAATAATTAGGTATGAGCATAATTGATCGTTTACTAACCTAAGTATCATTTTCTTTAATGGTTATGTGAACTAATCACGGATGTCGAAGTTTAGCCATCCTAATTCTTGAGATCAGATTTTAACCGTTGGACAAAAAATACTTAAGCACCCACTCTACTCATTTATTGGAGTGACGGTTCCTGACAGAGTTCATGTTATCTACTTCGTTCATTTTCGAATTTCCAACTTGTTGAGATATTGATCTCATTCATTGATGAATTAAAGAATTATTAAAATCAACAAAAGATATATATAATACTATAAAGGGATTTAGATGAAATACATAGCAGTCAAGTGGAATTTAATTCTCCATACGATCATGTTATAGAATTAAATTTGACATGTAGTCCGTTTAATACACTTATTGTACTAGTATCACCTTTAACAATTTTTGTGATAAGGATAAATCACAAACTTGAATAGTGAATCGATCAATACTATAATTTTTCAATCTAAGGTGCCAACCCTTATACATTGGTTGTGAACAAACTATTTATGATTAATATATAAGTTTTGTCACATTGTACTTCTCAATGTAATTATTCAATTTATATTATCACAAGTGATTATAGATAATTTAATTTCCATGCTCAATAATAAATGAATTTAATATATCATAGCAAAATATACTATATGGGCACACAACCCAATGACAACCTATATATTAGTTGTGAACAAAATATTTATGATTAAAATATAAGTTGTGTCATGCTTTGCTTCTCAACTCAAGTACCTAACTTATATTTTTACAAGTAATCATAGACATTTTAATTCGCATGCTCAATAATAAATAATTATAATAACTATATAAAATCACAGTTCATATATTATAAATTTTTATTTTACCATGAGCCTATTTGGTTTGGATAAAAATTTAATTTAAATTTAAGTCATAGTCAACCGATCAATATTAACCATATATTTCATAGGTATCATAACTTTTCAACCACACATGTCAAAAGTTTCTATAATAATCTACTAAAAATTTTAATTTTAATCCCCACTAAACACTCCTTATAACAAAATATACTATTTGAACACCCAATTCAACATCTATTTTATTAAAAGTGTATGACCGAGATAAACCAAAAATGAGTCCAGCAAGATAACTCAATATATGTCGAACTGTGCTACTCAATACTAGTTTTTTTTCTCTTTTTTATTTTTTTATTTATTATTATTTTTTTTGATAACTCAAGTGTCCAAGTTTTGCCTAACTAATCCCTGAGGAGTGTCATTCTTCTTCTGTGGTTTGCCACCCATGTAAATCCGAATGCGATCACAGTTTATACAAATTTGGATCAAACATTCGAGATGTATTTTTTCTTCCTGAAACCTCCCTTTAGGACGTGGGGACAAGATCCCAGGAGGGGCGAAAAAGTGTACCATAACTTTGCCTTCACTGAACAACTGTCTTTTAGCTGTTGCGGGGATTCGAACTTCCAATGCTTCGTATAGAGCCCTCTTGTTTTATCACTGCACCATGCCCTTGGGGCTACTCAATACTAGTTTATTCCTACATGCTCATATGACTAGGCAAAACTTTGACTAAAATTTTCCTTTTCTTGATGTCGCTAAATCATTGATAATTTTGTATAACGCAAGGAAAGAAAATATTGATAATAATTTCATGTTAAGTCTGCTATTGTCGTACACTTATAATTATGAAAAATTAGGGTTGGATGCTTCAACTTTTCACTTGGTGTGATTATAGGAATTTAACAATTAAAAGTGAGGTCTTTTGTTCCTAACCTATTTAAATCTATGGAATTGGATTCTGATGTGACTAAGACTATCAATGTTGACATTCTGTTTGTTTATCTATTACGTTGTTTGTGCGTGATGAAGATGGTCTGATATTCATCAACTCGACATTGACTATTTAATTGTATTTTGTCAATTAATCAAGTAACATCTTTGGGCCTCGACTAGGGTTCGTTCCACTATCTCATGTCAGCCAATTTCTTTCTTATATTTAAGTGAGCTTACTTTACCTCGAAAATGCACCTCCAACTTGGTCAACAGTTTGCAACTTCAAGTAGATGCTCTCGTACACACTGGGATGAAATCATTAGTATCTGTAACATTCTCCATTGGGGGTAGAGGTAGCCATGACACTTCGATGGTCAAGTTCATCGACATTGATGTAGTATGAAGTGGAACGTAAATCACAAGACAAATATGTGTTGAACGAAAAGGAGATGACAATATTTATTGAGTAGCATTACTTTTAAAATGACACTAAATGCGAGTATATATAGTAATTGAGGTGAAAGGGGGATTGTTCGATAAAGAGGCATGTATTTGCATCTATGGGTCGAAATGTCTCCTCTTAGGTGTTCATCGATCAATTTATGGGCTTGTTTGAACCCAATTTTTGGTGTAGAATGCATTTTATAATAGTAAATTGATGGAGAATGTATGGTTAAAAAATAAAAAAAAATATTTTGGGTTTGTATGTAATATTATTTTATTGAAAAACATGTGGTTGAAAAGAAAAGATAAAATTGTATTTTGGAAAAAAATGGGGATCAGATGAGGGCTATAGGTGGGTGTGTATTTAATGTGTCTTAACATGTAGATTAGTGATTTAACATTTAGGCATCATAAAGACGTTACATTAATCAATTATAAAAGATTTTATCTTGGAAACATATTTGTACAAAGGATCACTCAGAAGAGAGGAGAAGAGGTAAAATCGGTGTTGCATTCCATTGAGGAAGAGGCTTACTTTCTTTAAAACCTCTTTCGTACAATGGACATTACACTTCAACTAGACAAAGGAGGTCAGCCTATACTCTTCGACGATTTGATACTTAACTTGGCCAGGTAGTATGGCATTTCATCGACGTGATATTTACCTCAGCCAGAGAGGAGATGATATGGAGTGTGGGCTTGTTCAATGCATTTAGTTGCTTGACACTTGTGTGATGATATGGAGCCTTTGTAAGCGAAGTGTAACAATATTCTCTCAAATCCATGCATGGATATTCATATTATTCATGGACTTTCAATGTAAGGTTAAAGGTCAAAAGCAGTTTCCTTGTCGAGGTGTAGTGTGTTAGAACAAACAAGTATGTATATTTCTTGTCCAGGACAAAATCCTCCTAACTTCAGGTTCTAGGCCTCCATGGCTCTCCTATTCTAGACAGAGTTCTCCAAGCTTCAATCTCCAGGCCTCCGTTAGTCTCATATATGGGGCAAATTCTTCCATTCTTCAATTCTTGTCCAGGAAAAAATCCTCCTAACTTCAGGTTCTAGGCCTCCATGGCTCTCCTATTCTAGACAGAGTTCTCCAAGCTTCAATCTCCAGGCCTCCGTTAGTCTCCTATATGGGGCAAATTCTTCCATTCTTCAATTCTCCATTGGTCTACTATCTTGGATAAACTCTTTTGGGATGTTTAGGGCCTTCACCGCTTCTCATATCCGAGATAAATTCTTCTAGGCTCCAAAAGTTTTGAGTCCTTTTATATCTCTTGCCTAGGACAAAAAGTTAAATGTTAAAAAAAGGAAGGAGAAGGATCTTCTTCGACGGATCTCTCTTGTTCCTATTTAGTCCCCTTTATTTCGTAAGCTGTTTCTATTTCTACATCTCTTTCTTCTCCACTTTCCACCTTTACTGTGAAAGATGTCGGTCCTTGGCTCTAAACATAAAAGCCTTGGACTATGAAAGGTGTTGATCTTTAGCCCTCAACATAAATGTCTTGGATTGTGGAAGGTATCGATCTTTGGCCCATAATATAAAATGCGCTGGACTATAAAAGATGTTGCCCCTTGGCTATTAACATAAATGCTTTGGATTGTGGGGAGTTTCAGTCATTGGCCTTCAACATAAATGCCATGGAATGTAAAAGTTGTTGGTCCTTGGCTCTCAACAAGGAATACCTTGGATTTTGAAAGGTTTCGATCCTTGATTATCAATGCTCACTGATCTAAATTTTTTACCAAAAATGGGGGGGGGGGGGCCCCGGGGGGGGGTTTTTTAAGGG